AAATTAAAATGACAAAAGCATGAAATATTTCACTTTATGTGGAAAACAACGTTAACAATCCAAAAGTTTTTTTTTTTTTTTTTAAATATACAATTTTGGGGAAATAACGTTTGGTAAAAGGAACTTTTTTTTTTTTTTTAACATATAATTGTAAGCAACATTTAGTATTGAATTTATTGGCACATCCTGATAATTACAGTCAAAGAGGAAATAACTCCGTCTCACTGTTATTACAAGAGGAATTTTAATGAGGCGCAAGTCGCAGCTTAGTGATGATTCCTGTAATACTACATACACACTGTAAGCCATGAAAGCAAATTTCAGCACCTGCTGCTTACTGCTGCCAGTGAGCGGTCTAACCAGTATTGTACCATGACCTTTGGTCTATGTGTGTTTAGGGGTGCTACATTATACACTCAGCAATCACTATGTAATATTCCAGTCCCGACCTGGCTGTTAAGTGTCTGATCATGTTACTTCATTGCATGTTAACATGATGGGGCTGTGGTGAAATGTATAGCACAATTGGTCGCTGGGGATTCATTGAGTGTGAGACCGTAATCTGCGAAGGCCTGCTGGGATGCTTTTCCAGGACTGTGAAGACTTCCCCTTGTAGTTTTCTCAGCTTTTCTCTGATTGACAAGGCAGGTGCTGGCCTCTCAGTGTTTTGTCCACATTTACAGTATTTGGCTCTAAGTATGTATGCTATGAAGAGTGTTTATCCCAGACTGACAGAAGTGACAAAAAGAAATATTTCATGAAAACGATCAAAGCAACCATTTAAATCTACTTAATGAGAAGAAATAAATAACATAGTCGCATTTTTATGCAAAAGGTACACAATCTAAATCTGTTATTGAATATATTTAATTAAATATAGCAAAAGTGAAAGATGCGAGAAAGAACAAAGACAGCAGAGCATTAATGTGTCTATAGGATTTGACTATTTTACTTCATATACTGTAATTTTAGACCCAACAAGGGGATCAGGAACCTTCTTCAGGGTCACGACACATATACAATCAATTTATGAAATATTCATTCAAATAAATCATATCAAAAGTATTTTTTTGGGGATTAAAAATGACAACTTCCTGAACTCAACATTTATTTAGAGAGTGATAATTACCAAAAAATAAATAAAGAGGCCAAACAACCAAAAGGAGGGAACAGATAGGGTGGACAGGGTCTTCAAGGCCAAAACAAGAAGCACAGCTTATGAGTCTATGTTTGAATTTTTTAGAAGTTTTTATATTTAATCTGTACTCTTAGATCATCAAACACCACTGTAGCTGTAGCTGAGAGAATTAAAGCCTTTATTGTCATTATACACAGTATAATGAGACTAAAAACAGCTCAGTAAAAGTGCACACGTACTTAGCCCCTTTTTAAAAACTATACAATAATATAACTATAAAAAGAAAGACAAGTCGTCTGCTGGACATCGGTTTTCAAAACAAGAGAAAAGGAGGTTAAAAATAACATGGCAGCATGGCACAGAGCTTCTACCGGGCTTCCACTCTTGCATGTTTAGAGTGCCCAGATTTACAGTGTGAAAATAACAGGCCAAAATCAACTGGGTCGTCAAAGTTTGAGCACAACATAAAACTCATAACTGCTCATAAATCACATGGTGAAAGAAGGCTGGAGCGTCCTTCCTCACATAGTGACGTGCTGACATTGGTGCACAGAGGCATTTGTGAGCAACATGCTGCAGTACAAGCAGCCTGTTTGAGACCTCCTCTGTTCTCCTCACCCTGCTGCTTTCTCCCATCGTATTATCTACTGTAATGCATCTTTTAGCGTCTCATGGTATTGAAACATACACGTGCTAATTTCTGGACTTTGGGATAAATATGTGTACGTTTCTTCTGTGGTTGGTAAAGAGACAAACTGCATTAAAAATGTTAATGAATTTATATAAAATGAAAAAAAATTGCAACTTTTCTAAAAGGGTCATTTTTGTATGTTACATTAACTTAAACTCAAAATCTTTACCACAGTTTAAATTGTTCTCAATAAGATGCAGACTCCAAGGGCACAGATCGTGCCACTCTGAGGAATTTGGGATCTCGCCTTTGGATACTTATTTTAAATCACTGTCTGCTGAGTTTAATTTCAGTCATCATAGCAACATTTAAAAATAACAACCATCATATCTTAGATCACCAGCCAAATGTGATTAAAAACTACTTAAAAGGTTTGCTCATTTCCCCCCCAACAACAGTGTTTTTTTTCCAACCCAGACTTGCTTTTGCTGAACTCTCTTTAGATTTAATTTCAGAACTATCTTGTAATGTCTCTGTTCCCATTTTCTGAGACTGTACTCTCAGTGTAACCACAAATACACTGGATTCCATTCCTAAACATCAGTACAACAATAATGTGTCACTGTCAGGGTCCCCCTCTCCGCTCCCTGGTACAGGGACATACATCACACCCCCTGCTGACCCTCTGGATTTATTAGTGTGTGAGTTACGTAAGTGTGTAGCTGTAGTTCTGGTTTTTAAACTGTGTTGCAGGAAACATTTCAAAACAAGTTTAGTCTCGGCTCATTTAGCTGATGTTACACGAAAACCCAGATTGATCACCATCTCTAGTCTAAGCTCTGCTGCTGTCTGACAGAAGCAGATCTCTTTACAAATAGATGACTTTTGTCAAATGGCTTATTTCATTCCAGCTCTCATCCTTCTCTCAGCTGTTGTTATCACCTTATCCCTCATGTTATTCATCAAGATAGCGCAGGCAGTGGCTGAAAACAGTCACAGAGTAGGACTGTGTGTGTGTGTGTGTGTGTGATTCTGAGAAATGCCTGGTTGGTGAGTGGAAGAGGGCAAAGGGGACCAAAGTCTTGAGGCGCAACATTTAACCTCCCAAAAGAAGAGGATGTCCCTCACAGTTGGACATGCGGACTCAAAACAGCCAGTGTGACTGACATATGCTGATGAGTGTTGACTCAGGGATTCTGGGACATTCTGTTACTAAAGCCACGAAGCTGTGGTCTCTCTCCTTGACTCATAATTATAAATACACAGATTGGAGGATCCGTGGTAGAGGGGTTGTCCCGCTTTCATTTGGATTGGGCTGCTGTCCAAGCAAGTAATAGCTTGCTATTCTAGGATTATGCCTTTGAAATCAGTAGCATTAACAAAATCTCCTCAGTGAATAACAGTTTTTTCTTCCTTTCATTAATTATCATAGCTGTGATCTATATTGATCACACACAGCTGCAGCTGATTAATGTATGGCTACCATAGACTGTAAATAAAGGATGGTGATAGCCACCTTGCTTTCAATCATGGTTAGTAAAGCCTTAAGCTGAGCATTTGGCTGTCGCTATCTTAGCTTCTTGAAACCCTCTTTGATGAGCCAAGTCTGAATCTGACTGATTTAAAGAGACTCTGTGATGTGATTCTGATGAGGACTGTAATTTATTCTGGAGCCTATCCAGCTGTGATGGAGAAAAAGATGTGATACAAGCTGGACAGATCACCAGTTCATCACAGGGCTAACAGACAGGCAGGTGTGTGGATCCTTGAGCAAATGCCTAGAATGAGAATGCCAACTGGATAATCTAGGCCAGGTTGGAGGAACATGAAAACCCTATAGAAAAAGGCCCCAACCAAGCAGGTTGCAGAGCCTTTTTGCTTTTTACATTTTGATGTTCAGTGTGTTGCATTCTTCTCTTGCACTTTTAGTGTTTCCCCAAACATCCATTTTCTTGCATACATAAGAAATCATAAAATGCAGTGAAATTTTTTAAGGGATATCCTTAAATATCCTTCTGTGTGTGCAGTTTTTTTAAGCAGCACTTACTGAATAAACTGTCACAACAGTTGACACTTGCTGGGGGAAAGCAGCAGCTGCTCTAATCCCACGGGGTTAACCCTTGGGTGTATTATAAAAGATTAAACTGCTGAATGGAGGATTTCCAGTTCACATGTGGTGGAGTGACACAGAGGCAATTCTTGCTTCACCCATTAGTGAAAGAAAACAGGAAGAAAGCCGGAATATACAAGAGCAGATAGAACTAGATTTAAAGTAACAGTTTTGAAAATAAGGCTAGGTCTTAAAATAAGTATATGTCACTCATACATTAGATTTGGTTACCCCATTTTCTAGATCTTATTATACTTCTTATCTGCAGTTTATTTTAATTTATACTTCTTCCATTTGCAGTTTTTGTGAAGAAGAGAGGACTTTTGCACACATTGAGTCAAACTGATTGATTTATTTCCTAGCCTGAAGTGCAAGTTTCCATTTGGACTGTTTGAATGCAGGTTGTCCAGTTTTAGCAACAGTTCCTACATGAACTGCCATTCAGTTCCATTAAGAAAACACATACCCTCCAAAATGAGGCAACTAAAATAAAAAACATTATTATTTAGATGGATAAACAGGGCAGCACGGTGGCACAGTGGTTAGCACTGTTGCCACACAGCAAGAAGGTCCTGAGTTCAATTCCACCATCAGCCCGGGGTCTTTCTGCGTGGAGTTTGCGTTTTCTTTCACTACAGTAGTTTTTTTTTTTTTTTCTTTTTAATCTCCACTGACTATGAAGTTTTGGAAGCATACTACTAGTGTAACTAAATACAAATCGGAGTAAAGAGGACCTATAGTATAGTATAATAGAGGAGCAATAATATAAGCTTGAGTAACTCTCCCTCAAAAAAAACAAAGACAGCTCAAGTAATAAATACTTTATTTTCACATTAGAATTAAAAACGCAGTCATCTGCAGGGCACTATATCTCTTCTACAAGAGGTAAGTTGTGTGTGACCGACGTGTATCTTCCATTAACAGCATTATGTACAGCAATGAAAAACTGCCCAAGAAGTATTGTTTAGTTCACAAAAAACAAAAGCAAAACAAAATTGTTGTGTTGTTGATCATCGGCCACCGCCATTGCCTGCTCCACCGCCAGCTCCTGCTCCCGACTGATCCTGAGCGCCAGACATCATCAAGAAGAGAACGAGAGGCACAATGTACATCCACTGGAAGAGAAGAAGAAAAGAGCAACTAAATACTGCAATATTTTTGGTTACAACATACAAATCAACTGTGATCATCTAGTGGCTCCTGATTGGTCATCCCAGATTAGCTTCAGTTCATTTTCACAACAGAAGAGAAGAAAAGGCATAAGTGGGTGACAGGGCCATAGAGTGACGATCTCAGGGGTCAAACACCAAACACATGCTAAATATAGCCAGAATAATAATTTCAGATATACTGGTGGTTTATCCTGTAGACTCCCAATAATACATACTGGTGGATGCCAGTGGTATCCCTGAGCCTCCTAGTAGATACCCCTATGCTATGAATTTCAAAATTCTATGTCGCCTTGTTCTGAGTTATCACATTCACAAACTTGGGTGTCGATGTCGCCTGCCAGCCCAGCGTAGTGACGACAATACACAATCAGCCTTTTACAGCTGACGAGTAAAAACAAATTTGATCTCTGTAATTCATGTTTTTGGCATTTTCACCTTTCCTCCCAATCACACATGTATGAGAGAAACGCAGGTGGAATGTTAAAAATGCAAGTAGTCGAGATAGGGAAAGAAAATTACTTTAAATACCTGGGCCAACCCAAAAGACAGACAGTGCACGAGAAAAATGCAGAATGGATAACAGCAAGAGTGAAAGAGAAGGTTTTAAGACCTGCTATGATGTACAGTTTGGAGACAATTACACTGACAAAAGACAGAAGGTGGAGCTGGAAGTGTTCAGATTTTCATTGGAAGTGACAAGCACAAACAAGATTAGAAAAGAGTATAGGAGGGACAAAGTCAGAGAGGCAAGGCTGAGATGGTTTGAGCATGTGCAGAAGACAAACACTGGATATTGAAGATAGAGGAAAATAGGAAGATCTCAGAGGAGGCTGACGGATGTAGTCAAGGAGGAAATGCAGGGGGTTGGTGCTAAAGATCCACTGTGGCAACCCCAAAAGGGAGCACCATTGCAAGTATTTGGCATTGGACCTGAAGAGACCATGAAAAGACAGAAGGACAGAATGAGTGGACACAGAAAGGAGACGGGGTTTCATTTAGTCACGCTGACTAAAGGTTAAATACAAACTGAAGAAGGGGACAAGTAAGGAAACTGTACTTCAGTGGGACTCAGCTCTGCTCTCTGCCTCCCCCTGCTGGGGGCTGTGCTGAATTGGTGACCATGAGGAAGATTGCACCACCCAGAATCAAATACCACTGGAACACAGTACAGCATCAGTTCAACACAGATCAGTGAACACAGCAAGAAACACACAGAACAGCAAAACAAGACAGATTTAACAGCGCTCAGGCAAACTAAGGCAGGATACAGGGCGGGATTCTGCCTGGAAAAACAGCTCGAAGCTAAGAAAGTCTGAAGACACACAAAACCTTACCACTGGGTTTAAGGGATTACTTTTTATGTTCTTATGCACTTTGTGGGAAAACTAATATTAGACGACTAGCAACACATGGATTCGTGAAACTGGGACCTCTAGTAAGCGACCAGCTGCTTGGAGCAGTTTTTGGTATGAAAACAAATCAGATGAAAAACAAGTCTGCATACTCATATGCCTCATAAAGATAAACACTATCTGTTCCAGAATTAAGGGTTTGATTACACTGTCCATCTACATTTGACCACCAAGTCCAGTTCTTTTTACTAGTGTCTTTAACAGAGTTGCATTGCAAAGAAGAAGGAAAGGAGGAGGACTCGCATCGCTGCTTTCAGCGGAGTAAGAGAAACAAACTGAAAAGTGTACCTGTGCCTAAAAGGTACTGACAAATAACTTTTTCCCCCGTAGTTTGACACAAACTGCAGGTAGAAAAGAGCCTTTCAACAGGACAACAGGAACCATTTTGACTTTTTGGGAGATATTTTCACTTTTCTGCCATAAATCCTGGCAAATGAAATAGAAGCAAAAGTGCAGTACAGTGTACAGTGTCTCCAGTGTATATTAAAACATACTAGACGTATTTGAAAAGATGTGATGCGCCTGAGAACAGAAAATACGAGCTTAACAGTCATTTTCATTTATTTATTACCTGTACATCTTTAGGCCCTTCTAGCCTATCAGCAGTTTTCTGTGTAAGTACTTACATATTTAGCGATGAAAGATTTCTGCTCTTGTGGGTTCTTCCCTTTCTTCTCAGATTCCTGTTCCATCCGTTCAAGGAAGAAAGCCGTCTCAGGTCTGGAAGAAAGGTGACAATTAGTGTTGTGAAAGGTATAGAAAGACTTGTGCCACCCAGGACAACTGACATAGAGCTGCTAAGCCAAGGCAAAAGCTAAACCAAAGGATGTGGAAAAAACCTGCAGGAGGCCTTGACTTATGCAGAGACAACCACAAGTAGAGATTGAAACAATGTCAGATTGTAAAGAAGCTGTAAAGGAGAAAAGGACAAAATCACAGGTAAAAGCAGTGTGACTGACCCAGGTGCATTCACTGGAGCCATTATGCTGAGAGTGGTGTTGAAAATCTCAAGGTCGACCTCATCCTCGACCTCAGTGCCCCTGCAGGCCCCAGGTAACGTCACTATGGAGACACCGATGAGGTACCCGGAGACGTCAGTGTGGAGCGCGATCACATCGCTCAGATGGGACTCAACCATGGCACACTGAGGATCACAGGAGAATGTTAAAACAATAGGTTTTCAGTGTATGTGGATGTTATGTTTTAATTGAGAGGAGCAGCTTATTGCTTAGAAATATTTACAATTTACACTAATTACACACCGTTTGAGAAGCTTTAGGTCAAAACTAGCACTGATCAAATATTGCTTCTCAATATTATTAAAGTGTGAATGTGTTTTTGTTTCTTAATTTCTATTGACAGGATCACAAAGTAACTCATGATATTATACTATCATAATACCTTTCTACTGATAGAGGGACTCTACTTCATACATTCATATATGATACATCACATAATCTGTGTATAAATGTTTACGTGTTAAAAAGAACCACGCCTTTCCTGTCTAAGAGTGAGAGCAGCGCGCCAGCCTCAGATGAACATGTGGCAATTATAAAAGAGGCTACTTCAATGGAATGCAAATAGTAGTTGGGCTACAATAAGTCAGACCTCCAACATGTGCAATACTTTGCAAAATGTAAAAAAATAGCTAAAGATGGAAACAATAAACTTGTTTAATGAAAACTTACAAGGCTAAGTTTTAAGTAGTTTTGTTATACTTAAAACACTAACCAGGTGACTTTTGTGCTTGCTGTGCCATTACTGTAGTATTATATTGCTTCTGCTGACAACTTCAAACTTGGAATTAGGTAGTCTATCATCATTGCTCATTGTACACAAACATGAAAAATCCATTTATTTTGTTTGCACTAATAAATGCTGCCCGCTGCAATCATCAATAAAACGTCATTGTCAAATATCAGTACACATATTCCTTGAAATACGGTGATATAACTTTGAGGGTACTTCGCCCACTCCTTGTGTCGGTTCATCTTATTTTATTTCAATTCTTTTCTTCCAACGGCCGACCTCCTGCTGTGAGAAATTTGTTCTTTAACACAAGTAAGTTAACTTCCATTAACTTTACTGCCTTTGATAAGGCCACTATGACGAGTTTATCAAGTCAAATTGGTCGAGGAACTCACATTAGAATATGTATAACATATAACTGTATAAATATTCTGTTCTATCCTTTGTGGAAAAACATAACATTTCTAAACCAACTGCATTTTTTCCAGCATAGAAGAGCAAAAAAAGAAACAACTAGACTGTAAATTATTTGGGGGAAAACACATCAGATTAACCACATCATAAAAAACCTCATTCAGAGCCAAAATGTTTGCTCAAAGTTGCTCTTTCATAGCTGGAAGAAAATGTTTAATATAATTTTGTATTAACAAAAAAGTTTCTATATTTTGTGGTGAGCCGGTCTAGAGTAATTTTCATGATTCGTGAGTAAAGCAAAATTTTGCCTCACAATAATCATGTGAATTAATTTGCTTTAAACACCCATGAACATTTGCCAATAACAGCCAAAAGAACGAGGAGAAATAGGAGCTGGAATCAAGTTACAGTAATATATTTTAAGAACCTATCATTACATCCTATGATTTTACTCACTTTTCTCCAAGTCATTACCTTTTTCCTGTCTCCATCTAAAAGCTAAGTTTAACCATGCAGTGAAAACTACCCTCAAAAGCCGTCAATAAACATGTGCTCAATTTTACAGGAGGTGTTGTTTTTTAATCTTATCTGTAATTTCTGGAGAATTTGAGGGAAATACATACAGCTCTGACGAATGCTGTGAGGTAGCCTTCCATCTGCCGCTCTGTCTGTCTGTCAGCCTGCAGGAAAACACGAGGCACTCTGATCCTGTATAGACCGTCTACTGCAGCCACTTCCTGTGGGGATAGCCAAGTTAAAAACAAGTAATTTAGAAACGCATGTTCATACAGAAACATTATAAGGAGGATACATTAACACATCCTGAACTGATACTATGGTTAATGTAGTATAAATCTAGGAAAGTTCACCTATTGTTTTACTTGGCTAAACATCCAAACACATCCTACACCAGTGGAACAAGTGAGTGATGTTACCCACGTAGGTACCAACATTTTGGGTGACTTTCAGTCAGAGGTAATTCTACAGATGAGGAGGTGGTGGCTCAAGAAGAAGGTTGTCTACTTATATGAAGACTGCTTATTTGATTTACAGCTCTTCAGGAAAAATGCTGAACCCCAAATTGCCTCGATTCATATGTGATTAAGTGACAGGTAAAAAATGTCTGAAGCTAACAGAATGCATGAGTGAGCGTGAGAATAGGTGACTGCAGTGTGCACTGCAAGTACCGACAAGTACTTGTCCCCCCCCGGCACCCAAAAAACAAACAAACAAAAAAAAAACCCCAACTAAATATTTATTTGAAACAGGGGAAATCTCTCCATCACTGGGCCATCTTGGAAATGTGTAGAAAACATCACTAAATCAATGGTTAACATGGTTCACCTTCAATTTGGTCCTGTCCTCATCTGACAGCGGGTTCTGACTTAGTGAGACACTCGGCTCTCTTCCAGGCTTTAACAGCAGAGCTCCACGCACTTGAAACTTTGCTACATCATCTGGAAAAATAAATAAATAAATTGCAAATGATAACAAACCGTTCCCTGCTTGGAGACTTGTAAAAATCTGGGTAAAAAAAAAGAACCAACACATTGTACCTCTACATAGTTCATAGTTAACCATAAAATGAAGGTAGAAGTCTGTCATCAAAGCAGAGTGTTTTATTATTGTTAAATGAAGGAATAAACTGTAACTGCCTGTTTTCTTTTTTTATTTGATTGACAGCATGTTTTGATTTTGCATTTTGAGAGTATAATAAATACTGAATTTGCCCATCCAAATGCTATGATTTCAAAGGGTGTTTAATTCTGGGCTGTGAAATGACTTTTAACTGTTTGTATTGTTATAGCTGACTTTATCCCAGCTGCACGCATTATTGAGAATAATTTAATTTTAAACAGACAGAAATGTCGTAGAAAGCCTTCCGAGAAGAATGGAAACTGTTATAGCTGCTAACGGGGGAACCAACTCCTTATTAATGGCAATGGATTTAGAATGGATGTCATTAAAGCTCCTGTAGGTGTGAAGTGTAGGCGTTCATAGGTTGTTATGAACGCAAAAAAACAATTCTGAAAAATATGTACATTTGTAGCAAATCAGGTACATTCATTAATAAATGCAAAAACTTATTAAACAGACATTTTTAAATGGAGTCTGGCGTTTACCATGACAATTTTCTTGTTGCGTTAAGCTTAGTTAGCTTACCAACATAATCAATGTCGTATCATACAACGTTACAGTAAGAAAAGAATTAAATATGTTTCTCACCAACTTCAAATGAGTGTTCAAGAGGCACAGAGAAACCACTGAACTCAGTCTCCAAGGCATCACCAACCTGAGAATGAACATGAAATCCACTTTTAGCCTTTCAGTCGGTCATACACAGCTAATGCTAAATAGCTAACAGGTACAGCATCCACTTCACTGCATTTAAATTGATGTCGTCTATGTTATAACACTTCACACTTACCCTTCTTCCGTTATTACAACATGCGAAATGTAAACATACGAAGAAAACAGTGGAAACAACAGCAACCTTAGATTGTACCACACGAGCCATTTTGACAGAAACAGACACCGGAAGAACGCCTCAAGTGGCATAACACATTAACTTCCGGCGATTTTCATAACAAAAGCTCCTTTTCTTTTCTTT